GGAGGTAATGCATCTACGAGCGCATTAGGACAAGACTACACCCGAAGCGATGCGAGCGATGTTTTTCGAGTTGGCATAAGGAACATCCCATTTTATCCAGACAAGCCGTCGTTATGGTTTTCCATGCTAGAAGGTCAGTTTGCATTGGCTAATATTACCACAGATTCGACAAAATTCTATCACGTCATCGGCATGCTAGACCATCAATACGCAGTTGAAGTGGCCGATGTGATAGAATCTCCACCAGAAAACGACAAATATGTCAAATTAAAGACAGAGCTTATTAAGCGGTTGTCGGCATCCAAAGAGCGCAAGGTTAAGCAGCTGCTGGACCACGAAGAGCTGGGCGATAGAAAACCGTCGCAATTTCTACGGCACCTTCAACATCTCGCAGGTTCTGGTATACCAGAGGACTTCATTCGCACCATCTGGACTAGCAGGTTGCCTAGTAGCATGCAGACCATAATCGCTTCGCAACTCCAGCTACCGCTCGACAACTTAGCTGATCTCGCAGACCGTATCCATGACATTGCACCACCATCTCCGCACGTAGCTTCTGCTTCTTCTTCATCTTTTGCTTCAACATCACATCGACATCATCCAAACAACACGATGGACATGATGGCTAAGCAGATTGAGAAGCTAACGCAGCAGGTCCACGCACTTACTATGAAGGTCGGTAGATCAAGACCCACATTCAGGAAGAATAGTAGGCAGCACAATCGCAGTCGCAGCAGATCACAGTCCAGCTACCGCAGATACCCTATCTGCTGGTATCACGCGAAGCACGGCAGCAAGGCTAGCAAGTGCCAGAAGCCGTGTGACTACAAGGCGGAAAACCAGCAGGGCGGTCGGTAATGGCGACAAACGATTGCCCAAACAGCCACGGTCGCCTGTTCGTCACTGATCGGCATACCAGGACACAGTTTTTAGTGGACACCGGTAGTGACTTGTGTGTATTCCCTCGTGTGGCACTTAGAGAACGACGGCCAAAGACTAAATACGAGTTGTGCGCGGCTAACGGTACTGTTATCCATACATACGGACATGCTAATTTTAAATTAGATTTAGGTTTACGACGAGACTTTGTATGGCGTTTTATTATAGCTGATGTTAATAAGCCCATCATCGGCGTTGACTTTCTGTCATACTATAATTTAGTTGTAGATGTTAGAAATAAGAGATTGTTGGATAATTTAACATCATTAAAGGTCTCAGGTGCGTCAGCAGATAAGTACAGTAGCGTTTCGTCGGTTAAAGTCCAGACTGGTAACTCGCGATACCATATGATACTCGCGGAATTTCCCGAACTAACCAGACCAGCAGGTACTCCACGCACCACACCACATAAGACCGTACACTACATTCGCACGACCCCAGGACCGCCTGTTGCTAGTACACCTCGTCGCTTGGCGCCAGATAAGTACAAAATCGCCAAACAGGAGTTTGACATCATGATCCAGGATGGTACTGCTCGACCATCAGACAGCCCTTGGTCTTCTCCTCTACACCTGGCTCCTAAAAAGGATGGCTGGCGTCCCTGTGGGGACTATCGTATGTTAAATGCACGGACCATTCCTGATAGGTATCCGGTGCGTCATATCCACGATTTTACTCACAGTCTTTCAGGATGTAAAATCTTCTCCACCGTAGACCTGGTTAGAGCGTACAACCAGATCCCTGTCTGCAACGAGGATATTCCCAAAACCGCGATCACCACACCCTTCGGCCTCTACGAATTTCCATACTAGACCTTCGGTTTGCGTAATGCAGGTCAAACCTTTCAGAGATTCGTAGATGAGCTGACGCGGGACATGGATTTCGTCTATCTATATTTGGATGACTTTTTGATCTTCTCCCCTGATCCATCTAGCCATGAGGCGCATTTACGTCATCTTTTCAAAAAAATGTCCGAATATGGCATTTTAATTAACACTTCTAAATGTGTTTTTGGGGCATCGAAAGTAACTTTTTTAGGATACCGTATTTCGAGCGACGGTATTAAGCCACTTGACGAGAAGGTCCAGGCCATCAGAGAATTTCCTAGGCCAACAACTGTCAAACAGCTTAGGAGGTTCCTTGGAATGCTCAATTTCTATCGCAGGTTTATCCCTCGCGCAGCTGAAGTTCAGGCACCTTTGAACGCTTTGCTAACCGGCTCAGTAAAAGGTAACCACCCTGTCGAGCTCATAGGAGATTCACTAAAAGCCTTCGAGGATACAAAAACCAGCCTCTGTAATGCAGCACTTTTAGCTTATCCCGATTGCCATTCTCGACTAGCTCTTACCACTGATGCTTCCGATCTTGCTGTGGGCGCTGTTCTTCAACAAAGCAAAGAAGGCGCTTGGCAGCCACTTGCATTCTATTCTTGCAAATTGAGCCCTTCCCAACAAAAATATTCCCCGTATGACCGCGAACTTCTTGCCATTTATCAGGCCATAAAATATTTCCGGCATATGTTAGAAGCTCGAGATTTCACAATCTTCACCGGTCATAAGCCTCTCAGCTTTGCCTTTCATTCTAGAAAGTCAAGTTGTTCTCCTCGGCAATATCGATATCTCGATTTTATCTCCCAATTCTCCACCGATATACAACATATATCCGGCAAGGACAACGTTGTCGCGGACACTTTATCGCGTATTGAAGAATTCGAAGCTAGTGTCGATTTCGATACTCTCGCGAAAGCTCAAAGTTCCGATATGGATTTAAAAAACATCTTAAATGATGCTAATTCTCTTCGGCTTACGAAAATCAAAATACCCGGAAGTAAGTTCGAGCTGTATTGCGATGACAGCAAACAAACTCCCCGGCCATTCGTACCGAAAATCTTACGACGTCAAATCTTCGACTGTCTTCACTCACTGAGTCATCCTGGCGTTAAAGCTACTGCAAAACTTGTAGCACAGCGTTTTGTATGGAATGGTCTCAGAAAGGATTGCAGAGAATGGGCACGAGCTTGTTTGTTTTGCCAACGCTCTAAAATTAACCGCCACGTTTCTGCACCATTAGGAACATTTCCATTACCACGAGCTAGATTTAAGCACGTACACATAGATCTCATAGGGCCACTTCCCATTTCTAACGGTAACAGGTATTGCCTCACAGCAATCGATCGTTTCTCACGATGGCCTGAAGCAATACCCATACCGGACATTTCGGCAGAAACAGTCGCTAAAGCCCTAATAAGAGACTGGATCTCACGTTTTGGCTGCCCAACTATCATAGTTACGGATAGAGGCAGACAATTCGAATCTGATCTATTCAAATTTCTGTCTCAAATGATTGGTTTCGAACACCGCAGAACCACCGCTTACCATCCAGCGTGTAATGGTCTCATAGAACGATTCCATAGACAGCTGAAAGCTGCTATAACGTGTCACGCCAATAGCAGTTGGACAGAATCTCTGCCATTAGTACTGTTAGGTATTCGTAGCACTTTTAAGGAAGACCTTCAGTGTTCATCAGCTGAACTGGTTTATGGTGAACCTTTGAGACTTCCCGGAGAATTCTTTCACTCCAATCTAGATGGCACTACGGATATCACTGATTTCACTGCCCGTTTGCGGCAATTCACGCAAAATTTACAGCCCTGTCCAGCTTCACGACATCATACAGGCAAAATTTTCATTTATAAAGACTTGGCCACCACTAGTCACGTTTTCATACGAGACGACACAGTCCGCCGAACTTTACAAACAGCTTACACTGGACCATATAAAGTTTTAGATAGAGGTCCCAAATCATTCAAGCTGGATATAAAGGGAAAAATAGTCACAGTATCTATAGACCGCTTAAAACCAGCCTATGTACTGTTAGACGAACAACAAAATAATTCACACCCATCACCTCCTACAATAGTAAACACACCTGAACAAAAAACTACTCGTTCTGGTCGCAAAGTACGTTTACCAGATTTTTATCGCCCGTAGTGACGGTCTCTGGGGGGGAGTGATGTGGCGGCATGTATAGTATTTATATTTATTTATACAAAACCACATATAAAATAATTTATTACATTATAACTTAAACAACTAATACAGACTTATAAATTACTTACATCTAAATACTTATGCTAACATATTACACAATTATATATTATATACAATATCTTATAAACTAAATATTTACATAACTTAACTATATACTATACGAAGCGCGTAGTATCAACGACGCGCAAGTATAGCTTCCGCGCTGTACGAGCAGTCTTAGCGCATCCTTTTGTTTCCAATTTTTTGTGCGATCTATTGAATGCAAGCTATCGATAGACGTTGCAGATCGCCAGTGATAAACTGACCACGACGCGGAGCGCACGCCGCTCATACGCACGCATCTATACTTCGTCTGCTCGCGCGCCGATATTTAATACGAAACCTCTTTTCATTTTGCTACTCCTTCTAATTATATCCGTGGTAGGAACCTACCACCATCGCCTAACCAAGGAATCCCAAGGTTTAGAAATTTGTGTAATGCTTACTTTTTATATATGTTTTTTATTTTAGCAGTTTATAATTTTTAATTTGTGTTTTATTGGTCAATAAAATGGTTCTCTCTCTCTCTCTCTCTCTCTCTCAAAAATCTTCTACATTTACACTTAGAAAGACTCCATCATCAAAATCTCAATAAATTCAATAAAAAATGCTGAAAATCTGAATTAAAATAGGGAGTCTGCTTATAAAGAAACGTTATTAGTTTTTTGTTATTATGCAATTTGTCATTGGCTGACAGATGACGGCTATTACTATTATTGGTTTAAATTGATTTCCTTGATTCTGATTGGTTTTATCTAAAATCACGTGATTTCCGTAGCTGATAGCATCTAATAGCAATGTTTTAAAGAAATTTTTATGTAGCACAAGTAGTTAATGAACTCACTCTTATAAATTTATGATGAATTCAGCGTATTTTTCTACACATAAATGCATGAAAATACTTCAGGTACAAAATTGGGTAGAGTTTTATGAATGGATCCTTTGCATTAACAATGTATCTTTTTTTAACAGGACTGGGCATTACACATACGTTTCGCCACTTCAGTAGATGCTGGATATTACGAGTGTCAAGTACCCACGCATCCACCCACCAGTATATTTTTCAAACTGGTCCTTGTCGGTGAGTCTATAGAGTTGATATTGCCATAACAATTTTGTTATTTACTATAAATAACATTTCGTATTATCAAAAGTCAAGCTCATAAATTGTAGCACCCGTTTGGGGCAAACAGCATCCATTTTAAATCGGAATCTAAATAACACAACTATGGGTAAAACTGTACTTCTAGGGTCCAAGAAGTGATACTTGTTTTTTTTGTAATAGAGGTATCTTAAAAAAAAATCTGGCGTTTCGCTGGCCACTGCAGCGGCACGCGCGCTTCGCTCGCTCGACTCACGCGTTATAGTCACAACACTAACCTAACCTAGTGTGAAGTATCACCACTTGGGCCCTGGAAGTACAGTTTAGCCCAATTATGAAGTTTTAAGATTTTTTTACTAGAAAAAAGTCAGCCCGGTTATACTGAGAAGAACCAGCAACAAACTCAACAAGGGCTGTTTTTTTCCAGTATTATTATTTACAGAGTCGTCAAGTTGAAACATGATTTCAGAGATGACTCTTGAAGTCATATTTCACGACATAATGTGAAATACATTTAAATTGCTCATCTGCTTTTTATGTGTGTCATACGTTATAAATACCTTAAAGAAGACCATAGTAAAGTGTCCAGACCTTTGAGTAGAGATGATGATGAGGAGCTAGATGGCGCAGGTGGTTAGCGCGTTCGGCTGCGATCGTTGAAGTTAAGCAACTTTCGCAGTGGTCGGTCATTGGATGGGTGACCAAAAATCTTCTATCTTGAGTTCCTCCGTGCTTCGGAAGGCACGTTAAGCCGTTGGTCCCGGCTGCATCTGCAGTCGTTAGCACCCGCCAATCCGCACTGGATCCGCGTGGTGGGTTATAGTCCAATCTCCCTATTTCATTCATAGGAAAGGCCTGTGCCCCTGCAGTGGGGACATTAATAGGCTGATAATGAGTAGAGATGAGTTTCTGTCGGTGAGTAAAGTAACGGGATTGAGAATAGAGTCGGGATACCATAATCTTAATCAAAATCATTTATTCAGTTTAGGCCATTACAAGCATTCATGAATGTCTAGAAGACATTATATGATGAAAGTTGACCCCAATACATTTGACGACCTCCGTGGCCGAGTGGTTTATACGCCGGGTTTCATGGTGTCGCCGACTCGAGAGGTCCCGGGTGCGAATCCCGGTGGGGGCAGATGTTTGTGTGATGAATACGAGCATTTGTACTCCAGTCATGGATGTTTAATATGTATTTCTATATAAATATACTTATATATGTACAGTATATGTATTCTATCCGTTACCCTAACATCCCATAACACAAGCCTTACAGTGCTTACTTTGGGGCTAGGCTAATTGGTGTGAGTGTTGGAAATATTTATTTATTTATTTATTTACATGTTTGCAAGTTTGATGTCAGCTTTCAATTTGACGACACTGTATGAAATAAAACAGGGAGAAATAAGCCCTTGCTGAGTTTCTTGCCGGTTCTTCTCAGTACAAGGTCTGCTTTCGTAGTTTTGCGAACCGATGGCTTAGTTTTCAACTTTCACGTGTGCTTTAAAAAGCCTAAACTGAATAAATTACTTTTGAATTGAATTGAATTAATTTTATAAAGATATCTCCGAAGTAAATGTAATGTTATTCATGAATATAAATACGGCATTCTTCTAAATACATATTTATTATATGTTCGGTGAATAATTTATGAATAATAATAACCTCATTTTTATAGTACAACATAGCATTACAATTAGATAGCCGGAAACCTTTCCTAGAAAACGATAAGCTAAAACATCAAAGGAAATGGAGCATTTATATCGTAACAATCATTTATTTGGAAAACGTTATTCAGTTTCATAGTCACTACTTCTTCCATTAATTACATAGAATCGACAGGTGGTAAATGTCCCAGGCCGATGTCGAATGTTCATGAGTGAGGACAGTAGGTACCTACCAGTACTTACCATTAATATAGTAGGCCGACCCCTTTGATTTAGTGACTATTGAAAATAATTAATAAATAAACATTTCCAACACTCACACCAATTAGCCTAGTCCCAAAGTAAGCACTGTAGGCTTGTGTTATAGGATACTAGGGTAACGGATAGAATTCATATACTATAAGTATATATATATTTATATAGAGTAGTTTAAGTATATTGATATAGAAATACAGATTAACCATAAGACTGAGTACAATTACTCGTTTTCATCACACAAACATCTGCCCCCACAGGGACCTCTCGAGTAGGCAGAAACACGTTGAAACCCGGCTAAATATATACAAAATTGCTCATCACCTACCACTCGGCCATGGAGTTCGTCAATATTAAAGTTACCAATATATTCGTAATATTGACATAAAGTATTAAGCGACATCTTGGTGTTAAATTTTTCTTATTATGCGTGTCACTATAATATTATCTGTCTTACCTTTTTAAATCACAATTACATCTTTTATAATTTCTCTATTTTCTAACACCGGTATTTGTCGACTGTTCACTAAACTAATAGACAATTCTAATAAGAATCTTTCTTCCGTTTTATTTCGTTCTACATTATTCTAACAAGATCTACACCCGATTAAAATTGACGACTCTGTAAATTAATTTGTGTTTGTCTGTCTTGTATTAACTCAGGTCCGTTATTTTTTGCCCTGCAGCTGCTTACGCGGAGATCGTTGGGGAATCAGAGAAGATCATCCACGAAGGTTCCATGCTGAGGCTGGTGTGCGTGGTGAAGAGGTCCACGGAGCCACCCTCGTACGTGTTCTGGTACTTCGAGAACAGGATGATCAACTACGACCAAAGTAAGTAAACTATAAAACAAAAGTGTACCGCACCATATGCCTTCATCATCATCATCAGCCTATTAATTATCGCGTCCACTCGAGATTGGAAATAAGACAAGAAAGAAGCATCATTCGTTTCTCTGGGACATACTTTTAAATTAAGTCGCTTTTGTCTTGTACAGATCTGAAGTTCCTTTGTGTAGCGTAGTCTGAGGTAAAGGTTTTTTTCATAATATATATTTTTTTTATATAGCCAAGTAGGCAAAAGACTCTATCCCACCTGATGTTATCTCGATCCAATTTAAAGAGATGCGTGAATAAGAGAAGCTGCAATCGTTGAAGTTAAGCAACTTTCGCAGTGGTCGGTCATTGGATGGGTGACCAAAAAACTTCTATCTCGAGTTCCTCGGTGCTTAAACTCGATTCCGTTCATTTACACTAAGGGCCGATTTTTCAAAATTCGGATAAAACCTAACTGTCATCATCATCATCATCATCAGTCTATTAATGTCCCCACTGCTGGCGCACGGGCCTTCCCTATGGATGGAATAGGGAGATTGGGCCATGACCCAGTCCATGGCGGTCCAGTGCGGATTGTTGAGTGCTAACGACAGCAGATGCAGCCGGCACCAATGGCTAACCGTGCCTTCTGAAGCACGAGGGGCTCGAAATAAGAAATTTATGATCACCCATCCGATGATCGACCACTGCGAAACTTGCTTAACTTTACTAATCACAGCCAAACGTGCTAACCAGTAGCGATATCAAGGTCCTGTCATGCCGTTTATAAATCAAAAATATAAAATTATACCAGGCGGCCCAGTGCGGATTGGTGGGTGCTAACGACTGCAAATGCAGCCGAGATCAACGGCTTAATGTGCCTTCCGAAGCACAGAGGAGCTCGAGATAGTAAATTAATGGTCACCCATCCAATGACCGACCACTGCGAAAGTTGCTTAACTTCAACGATCGCAGCCGAACGCGCTAACCTCTTGCGCCATCGAGCTCCTCAACTCACCATATGCCTTAAAGAAAAGTTTTGTCCCCACCATCTGGAGGCTTGGCATTCTAGCACTATGGAATATGGCGAGATTACATTTTTTTATAGCTAGGTAAGCAAATGACTCTACCCCACCTGACGTTAAGTGGTGATAAAGTCCAATCGTGAAGATTTAGTCGTCAGCCCGAATACGATTGCCAATGGAATTTTGGAAAATGACTAAAGGCTGATTTCTCGAACACTGAATAATGATAAATAATTATGATTTTATTTATTTTTTAAGCATTTAACTGCTAGATGTTTAAATCTAAAGAAAGGTTTACTAGAAAAAAATCCACGCGGACCAGGCAACGGACGGGACTCGAACCCGCATCCTTCGCTATCTTGGCGAATGCACTGACCATTATGCTACCACGGCCCTATTAGCCGCGTCGAAATTTTCCTAGCCTTAAGCTGCAACGCAGCGCCATCTCTTAATATTATTAAATAATGTTAATATTATTTATTTTAAATAAAATTACATGGTTATATTCCTATAAATATCTAAAACTAAGGCCTTTATTTCACACAAAGTACATATAGACATCCTCAGCCAAACTAGGAAGTTTATCCAGTATATCTGTATTTCGGCTTCAGCGCCCTTCGCCAATTTTAGTTGTAATGTAGCCATACAAATAACATGAGTAGCATATTATCTTACGTTAATCAATATTACAGTACATTAATATAATAAGTGTGTGTGTGTATCTGTGTGTGGTGCGTATTTGTATATAAAATCATAAGCATTTATATTTATAGGGCCTTGGCAACCAAACCCTCAGTTTTTTCGTAATCTAATGAAAGTATAAACTTAGTGATCTTCTTTTTAACTTCATATTTGTTGAGGTGTACGTTTGTAATACACTTACTGATCTTATTATAAATATGACTGAATAAAAAGCGATATGAGCGAGTGAATAAAATTTATTTGTCTGATATCGTATTAAACGGAAGAAATAGAGAGCTGAGCTGTGTTAATTGGTGTAATGTGATGGATGGCATCTCTCTCTATTTCATTGAGTATTAATTATACAGTTCGTCGTATTCAGCTCGATGGCGCAAGTGGTTAGCGCGTTCGGCTACGATCGTTGAAGTTAAGCAACTTTCGCAGTGGTCGGTCACTGGATGGATGACCAAAAATTTACTATCTCGAGCTCCTCCGTGCTTCGGAAGGCACGTTAAGCCGTTGGTCACGGCTGCATCTGCAGTCGTTAGCACCCACCAACCCGCACTGGGCCTGCGTGGTGGGTCATGGCCCAATCTCCCTATTCTATCCATAGTGAAGGCCTGTGCCCCAGCAGTGGGGACATTAATAGACTGATGATGATGATGATGATGACAGTTAGGTTTTATCCGAATTTTGAAAAATCGGCCCTTAGTGTAAATGAACGGAGTCGAGTTCGCCCGTATTCGGGTAGTTTAAGCACCGAGGAACTCGAGATAGAAGTTTTTTGGTCACCCATCCAATGACCGACCACTGCGATAGTTGCTTAACTTCAACGATTGCAGCTTCTCTTATTCACGCATCTCTTTAAATTGGATCGAGATAACATCAGGTGGGATAGAGTCATTTGCCTACTTGGCTATATAAAAAAAAATATATATTAAGAAAAAAACCTTTACCTCAGACTACGCTACACAAAGGAACTTCAGATCTGTACAAGACAAAAGCGACTTAATTTAAAAGTATGTCCCAGAGAAACGAATGATGCTTCTTTCTTGTCTTATTTCCAATCTCGAGTGGACGCGATAATTAGAACCGTGTTGGGGAAGAGGCTTCAGCCCGGTCTCTAAGGTCGTATGAAATACAATTGGATAGTTAGTTGAATAACCTTAGCGGTTATTTTAATAAAATATTTTTTAATAAAATATCTTAATTATAATTTTATATTTTTATTTATAAACGGCATGACAGGACCTTGATATCGCTACTGGTTAGCACGTTTGGCTGTGATTAGTAAAGTTAAGCAAGTTTCGCAGTGGTCGATCATCGGATGGGTGATCATAAATTTCTTATTTCGAGCCCCTCGTGCTTCAGAAGGCACTTTTAGCCATTGGTGCCGGCTGCATCTGCTGTCGTTAGTACTCAACAATCCGCACTGGACCGCCATGGACTGGGCCATGTCCCTACTTCCTATTCCATCCATAGGAAAGGCCTGATTTTTCCTAGACTTAATGTCGTGCTTTACCTTGTAAATATTTATAATTGCTATACACCGTGTATAATAACCTCACAAAAAAATTACTGATTTGAAAGACCTCTTTTTAAGAACTGTGTCTATTCTGGTGTCCTCTTCGACGCTGGCTTCAACGACGAGTAACATCTGTGCGCTTGTTGCAGATGGTGTGAATGTACACAATGGCAGGCAGACCAGCGAGCTGGTGATCGGTAAAGCTGAGCCAAAACACGCCGGGAACTACACATGTGTCCCAGCCAACGCTAAAGCGGCGTCTGTCACTGTCCACGTTGTACAAAGTAAGTTCAATACCATAGTAAAATAATATGTTTTTTGAAGTATTTTATTGCTCAATGTTCAAATCTAAAAAAATACTTACTAATAAATTGGATTCGAACCCGTATCTTCCGCCATCCGAGCGGACGCATTAACCAATTAAGATACCTAGCCCTTAAAGGCCGTGTCTAATTTCCTCAAGTATTATTAAGCCCACAAGGCGGCGCCATCTCTTCGCATTGTAGGTAACCCACAATGTCAAAGGAATACCTTTTCAAGTGTGAAACATTTGAAAGAAGAAATAGCCGTAGGAGATTATTATATTTTTTAGACATTTAATTGCTAGATGTTTAAATCTAAAAAAACATACTGGGAAAAATTCCAATCGGTCCAGGATTCAGATAAGATTTGAACCCGCATATCATAATAAATTCGACCTGGTCATTGAGGTAATTTCCTGTTGTAACTTAAATCGTTCTATCGCTGTAATAACTAATAACATTCAAAATTACTACCTACAATTTCTGTAAAAATAGAAAACGAATTCGTGTGTAAAATATTAGTGTTTACTAAATAAAATCATTCATTGAAAAGAAGTCCTAGCGTACATACAGGGTATACTGTTATGTGATAAAATGTTGATACCTACTTGAATTCGTTAATATTGAAAACTATACTTATAGCACATGGTTTATTCCTGTCAACGCATCATATTCAGAGTGGTATAGGAGTGCATTTCGTTGAGCACGTAATCGGCTTTAAGGGGGACTTTGAATCGCCAAGTGCACAGCAGTGCTATTGTGTAAGCTTATATCCTAGATTACAACTTTGTGACATCTTAGAATACACATTTGATACTAGGAAGAAGACGATGACAATTGTGAACCAACTACCATCAAAACTAGAAGGTAAAAACTATTTAATAAGAACCAAAAGAACAACGATATATAGAAAGCAGACTTGTGGTGCAACTCCTAATAGCATTCTTAGATTCGTATTAATATATCGCTTCTAATCTAATACTTCGATCTTGAGAAACAGTTTGCATACAAAACAGCATGTCATTCATTGTTGAGAGCGATGTAATAATAGGAGCCTTACTATTAAATTCGATAAAAGTGGATAAAATTCCATGTCAAATGAAAGCCCATAAAAGGCACACAAAAACCGATACAATCACGTTTTTATTAATGATTTATTTTTTCAAGCAAAATCACTCCTAGTAATTCGGACCTAAATAACTTTTCTTCACGACCAACACTTACAGAGCTCGTAAAATGACTAAGAGCCGTCATTTTCACGTATCGATCCCCCTAAAAATATTACTAATCGGCTATTATTTCAAGTGGAAGGTAATTTTACCCTCCATTTATTTACAGCGGCGTATTCTTTCCGAAGGAGCCCTAATAAAATCCCACGGTAACGTAATTCACGTCAGTTCGTGTGTTTACGTGGTAATTTATATCGTGTTCCTGGTCTTAAACACGAGTTAATACATCTTATAAATAAAGAATAAGATTAAAGTCAGCAGAGCCCGAAATGGCGAATCTTCTGATATCATGCAAATTTAAGCACTTCTAAGGGCATTGCTCATTGGAGCAATTGGTTAAGAAACTTTTGCAGTGGTCGGTCATTGGATGGGTGACCAAAGTCTTCTATATCGAGTTCCTCCGTGCTTCGGAAGGCACGTTAAGCCGTTGGTTCAGCTGGATCTGCAGTCGTTAGCACCCGCCAATCTGCACTGGGCCCGAGTGGTGGGCATGGCCCAATCTCCCTATTCCATCCATAGGGAAGGCCTGTGCCCCAGCAGTGGGAACATTAATAGGCTGATGATGATGATGATGATGAAGGACATTGTGGGTTTCCCGCTCGAATTGGAGCGTCTGGTGAAGTAACCTCCAACTCCCAGAAGACCACAGTAATGAGACGACCGCCGTGGCCAAGTGGTTTGTACGCCGGGTTTCAAGGTGTTACCTGCTCAAGAGGTCCCGGGCTCGAGTCCCGGTGGGCGCAGATGTTTGTGTGATTAATACGAACATTTGTACTCCAGTCAAAGATGGCAATATGTATTTCTATATAAGTATACTTATATATGTATTCTATCCGTTACCCTTTTTTTTGACGATGAAAAATCCATTTACGGACCATACCGCGCGCTAGCCAGGTGCGCGACGTGTGTGGGACTCCCCGACGTGGAACAGCGCCGGTTCTACACGCTAAAAACCACCGGTACCCTCCTACGCTCTTATAGGAACGTCTCAGGATCCCCACGCCACTTCACTGGGACGCCCCCGGATTCTATCCGTTACCCTAGTATTCCATAACACAAGCCTACAATGCTTACTTTGGGGCTAGGCTAATTGGTGTGTTGTTTTTTTTAAATAATATTAGACAACTTTAGAAGGTTCTAGGGCCCACAGGGTAAGGGTTGGGGTCAGGGTAGGTATTATGGTCCACCTGTTGGCTGTTTTTTTTGAGTCTGTATGTTGTTGGTCGCAGATGACCTTTACAGCGTCACCGGGTTAGGTTAGGTTAGGCTAACGCTTAACATGGATGCTGTTGGAACACAGTGGGCGTTTTAGTCGGTATTCGGTAGGCGAGGGCCTCGCCTACCGAATAGGGGATTCATTCTCGTCTTGTAGGTAGGCAGGGGAGAGTCTTACATAACCTGCCCACCATTCTTCAGTGAGTGGGTATGCGTAAAGCATTTTCCCAACGCAAAAAAAAAGGTTAGGTTTGCCACCTTTTTAACATCAAAGTACCACTGTTAAAGGTTAAACATCAAACATATAAATATAATTTGACGACCTCCGTGTTCGAGTGGTTTGTACGCCGGGTTTCATGGTGTCGCCGACTCGAGAGGTCCCGGGTTCGAGTCCCGGTGGGGGCAGATGTTTGTGTGATAAATACGAGCATTTGTACTACAGTCATGGATGTTTCATATGTATTTCTATATCAATATACTTATATATGTACTGTATATGTATTCTATCCGTTACCCTAGCATCCCATAACACAAGTCTTACAGTGCTTACTTTGAGGCTAGGCTCCCGGTGAAAGTGTTGGAAATATTTATTTATTTTATATAATGTTTGCAATTGTATTGTTACTTATACTGATCGTATCTTTCAAGATATTTCCAATAGTTGTCATTACGAAAAGTGTTCCGGTGTTAAAACATAGTGAATGCAAAACGTATTGTTGTTCGCGAAGGCTCTTTGTCTAATGAATGAACTCACTGAATGGAATAGTGAGTCTGTAGTCGGACGGCAGTGTCATAAATGAGATTGCTTAGCGTCAACGCAAACAAGGCAGGGTTGGCAAAGAATGAAGTGTTTCAAAATGAAACAACTCTCGCTGTTATTCTTCATAAAAAGAAAATTACAGTGCCTTTAGCGGTCACTCAAAGAACTGATTTTATAGTAGAAGCTTTTAAGTATTCAAACGAGATCATAACTATTCTATTTAAACGTAGGGGAAAGTCATGAGGCTTGCGCAGGTGGGAGGATGATGACTATTTTTTTTCTTCGTTTATCAGGTAGATTATCAAAAAGTATTGGACACGTATTTTTTCTTTTTTCACATAATTAAACATTGCAGAGATGTATTCATTTGAAAATTCGCATAACGTCACGTTTTGGTATAATTTTCACTTAAAAGTGACGTCACGAGCTCCTACTCCCAAACTTTGACGCGCTATAACTTTGTCATTTCTTGGTTGATTGCCCAAAGTAAAAATACGTGTCCATTATTTTTTGATCATCTAACTGATGGACTTAATAGAATTTCGTTTACTGTATACCGTCATCATACCTATTGAACTATCTAGCAAAATTATTAAAATTTAGCACAAACAAAACGTCAATTCATTGATTAGTCACATGCGAGACTGTTTCGGTGTGATTGGCGTTTCGCATGTGATCAATGAACGAACTGAAATTTTGTGCTTGCTAAATTTTGATATAATTTAGTAAGATGGTTCAATTCTCCTACCTGGACAAGTCTCACGGTTTTACCCTACGTTTTAAAGCCTCAACCTTAGTAATTTAGCCCCATCCATCTCATCATTTGACAGATGTCACCGAGACAGCTAGATATGCTTGTAAATACGTTGGCAATTGTAGTTGACGTAACGCAATAACTATGAAAACAAAAAATAGATCGTTTAAGAATTGATACCATTAGAACATTAACCCAAGGAACACAATACTATTATAGTATTACCATTACAAGAATTATATTTTTTATTATATACAATACGTTATTTACTGCGTCACAGTGTGTTGAAAATGAAACTTTTCGACAGAAAAGATAATTAATCTATTCGAAAAATGTAAAAGTAATTAAGCTTACTTAATCGGATATTTATTCAAAACTTTACCACAAAAGATATCGTTTCCAAACTTCGAGTTCAAGTCATTACACAAGCAGTTCTTATTCAATATGTAATTTTATTTGACACGTTTGATAAATGAATTTACGTATTGTACTATTAATTTGTAATTTGTATGCTTAACAAAAGTGATTTAATGTTATAACGCCTATTTTAGGTTCAAGTGTGGGAGTAATGTCAATTGAGGTACTCTTTTGAACAGCTAATAAGTAAATCTAAAGAAAATATAACTAGAAAAAATTCCACGCGGACCTATTTTTTCTAGTTTTTTCTAGTTATATTTTCTTTAGATTTAAACATCAAGCAGTTACATGCTTTAAAAATAATAAAAATTATAGCTAATAAGTAAATTTACCTTTTAATATTCCTTTATGTCAATACAATCTAAAGTAATAATTTATAGTAATAAAAAGACGCACCCGTTTCAGCGTATTTCATTTCATCAGGTCAGTGCGTCAAAATTTAAGAAAAAAATAATGCAATCTAATTTAATCATGGCAGGTTACTGTTATAGTAACGTCTTTTGAATTAACACGCGAGAAGTGAATTTCTCAAAAATATGTACTCTGTTTATCTCCGAAAAAGGATATATGTACTAATTATATGTATAAAAACTAGCAAACCCAGCGAACTTAGTACCGCCCTAATAATATGGTCTGGTGGTAAAAGGGTGAAAATTTATGGCTCTATGTATTTTTTAATGCAAGATTATAAAAAATAGGCCAAAAAATAAAAATGTTAGGGGATAGATAACCCATATCACTTAGGGATATGAAAAATAGATAGTAGCTGATTCTCAGTCCTACTGAATATGCTTATAAAAGTACTAAACGATTTGCTTCCACCCATATCGTCAGAACAGCTAGGTTGTGGAACTCTTTGCCGGAATCTCTGTTTTCAGTCACCTATAATCTGGGGCTCTTCAAGTCGTGACTGAATCGGTTTCTTTTAGGCAAGCACGTCCCACCTTAGGCTGCTACGTCGCTCTTCATCTGTCGCGTGGCCGTCAAGCGGCTTACGCTAGTGTAAAAAAAAATGAAGACACCTCCACACAAGGGCTCATGTCGAGGTTTACATACTGGTTCTAACTCATGATATTAACAGTAGTTTTGCACCGAATTTGGGATCTACCGAATGTCGAATTTTGCCTTATTGTCAGTTTAAACATGTGCCGAAACCGAAGTGTGACCGAAGGTTATATTCGATGAAATTTCGCTATATTATATTACTCAATCAACAAAATGTTAAAAATTATCGAAAATCCTAATAGAGTCTGTGCGGAAAGAGAATGGGCGTGGCGAAAAACGGAACTAACATTAAGATTTTTATTTGGCAATCGAACCCAGCAATCTGTAAAACGTCAAAGTTTTGTATTGATACGGATTTGTTTGTTGTTGTGATTTCTTGCGGTTTTTTGTATTTAACCATGTCTAAAAGGGGTAAAACCTTACAAATACGGTAGAAAAGCACTACAGCGCCCTCCAATCTAAATCCCATTCTCTTTCCGCACAGACTCTACCACTGTTTTGTACCAACCTTTTTTAAAGCCACTGCGGTATTAATTTCCTCGTCTGACAACACTGGCCACCACAGCAAGCTCATGGCGGTCAGAACCATTAGGCGGGCTACGTTTTTACATTGAAAAAATCAACTTGCTTGATTGAGACAGCCCTTCTTGTCTCCTAACAAGCGATTATTTAACTCTCGCGACTAATTAAAACATTTCCCTTTTGTCTTTCATCGTACTGCTAAAGTTATTTACACAGCTCCGCTATAATGCCATTTGCCAACTTTAATACGCGTGCAGACTATTTCGTAATGAACTTAAGCCGGTATGGGATAATACGCGGAGTAAAATGAGGACGAGCTTTCTGAAGAGAAAACAGCTTTAATCCGATATAAATGACTTTGTATCTTTCTTTGAATATTTTATTTTCTCTAAATTTTTTTGTTTCTTTTGCAATAAATTTGGCATTTCAACACGAACCGAATCTAAATATTTCTATGCTTAATTATGAACGAATCAAATTATTAGCGAAAGTGGGACTTGCGGATGCACTAATCAAATGTGCTACAGCGATCTTAACGGTCGTGTCGATTTTTTTCCGATATTCTCTCTCTTCGCATTTTAGGTAACCCACGGTGCATTTGCCTGAATAACAAAGAGTGCGGGTTCGAGTCCGGTCTGCTGCCTGGACCGAGCGGATTTTTTCTAGTAAAATTATGTTTACATTTAAATATTGTCGTTAAATGTTTACAAAAATATAATAAATGAAAACAGTTTAATAAGCAAGCCCACTTCCAGCACAATTCGCTACGGAATCATCGCGTGGCTCCAAAGACTCGCTACGGAATTTCTACGTGTCTACAACGACACGATTCGTAGCTTTGTCGTAGCACGTTTGACAAGGAACCCTCAAGCTACAATTCCGCGAGTGCGCTGCGAGTAACTATTGACTAGTAACTATGTGGTTAGCGCATTCAGACTGCGATCAAGAAGTTAAGCAACTTTCGCAATGGTCAGTCATTGGATGGGTGACCAAAAACTTGTTATATCTTATTGTGCTTCTGAAGGCAAGTTAAACCTTTGGTACCGGTTGCATCTACAGTCGTTAGCAGCCACCAATGGCCTGCGTGGGGGGTCAATGCCCAGTCTCCCTACTCCATCCATAGGGAAGGCCTGAGCCCCAGCAGTGTTAAACTATGGACGTGCTGAAGTTTCAGCTCGTCGCAGCGCCACGATTGTATCATAATGCGGATATACTTTCTATCATAGTGTATAGAAAATACCGTTTTATGTATTAAAAAAAAAACGAGCGTGCTTATGACCACACGACTAAAGTGAAACTACTTTAGATCCTTTAGCTATAGCTTTATTTGGCCCGCCCTCGCTTCGCTTCGGTGTAGAGCTGTAGTGTAGACTTAAATGACTCTTGGAAAAAACTGAAAATGGTATATTTTCCTTTTCCAAACTTCTATTGACATCACGTCACTCAATTGTTTTGCCTTCCCGGAACCTCTCCACTAACATTTGAAATTTATGATATGGTATTAAAGTTCAAATTGACTTTTATTACGAATCGTTTGTATGGGAGTATAGAAAAGTGTTGTTTTTGGACTTTTTCAGCCAATTATTGTCTTCGTTAGAACGGCAGCGCGTGCCTATTGTACTTAGGTATTAGAAGAGTGTCATTGTGTATAATACAAGCCTGAGAACAAAAACTATAGTCTACACTACAGCTCTACACCGAAGCGAAGCGAGAGCTGGTCACTAGTTAAGCATAAAAACATTTCTAGGTGATAACACTGTTTTCTTTTGTTGCAGGCGAAACTCCTGCAGCCATGCAACACGGAAATAGCTCCCCAGCATTCACGAAACAAACACACATCATCATACGATCATTTGTTTTAATAATAACATTAAAATTAATACTATTCGATACCTATCAAGAATTCGGATAACGGCCTTCATTGTAAATTGTTTGAATACATATTTAATATTAAATGTTGTTACTAATTAAAATTTATTTTCACATGTTAAGAGATTGAAATTTCTCGATAGGTACTCGAAACAGACGGTGTATATCGTGAACGTGTTTTAATATGATTGTGAATAAGTAACAATTTCAATGTGAATTGTTTTATGTAGATTATTACCAATATTTTTGAATTCGAGCACACACTCAGGGCTGCTTGTTGGAATACTAATAAATATTTTGTTTCAATCCACTTGTCTTGTGAACAGAATATTCAAAAAAGAAATCGTTGTGAATTGACATCTGTACGTTATGTAATATATATTGTAGCTATGAACGGAATTGTTACCATGTACCTTGTTTTTTATGAGTCTCCGATATTTCGGCACTGTTGCAAGTGCCATGATCACGGAGTAACTGAAGTAATTGCGGGTAGATGTTATTGGCAGACATATCGGTCCACCCTCTGACGTCGTCTTTTACTGCGCTCGATACCCCTACTATAGTCACATTCTCACTTTTCACTCGGAGATCGGAGACTCATAAAAAACAAGGTACATGGTAACAATCCCGTTAATAGCTACAATGTTAGTGACCATGAAAGTTTAAAACAATATAATATAATATATAGTTTAAAAATTCCGTTTGATGATTATTTATGAAATAAACTGGCGAGAGAAAAATATAATAGGTTTTTACAGAGTTTCTATTGAATTCAGTAGCGCTCTCCCGTAAATTAATGATCCATTTTCGTTTTCGATTGCCAGCTGCTCAGGTCTAGCTTGATTGTTAATAAGTTCTTGTGAAGGATGAATGAGTATGTAATCTCATTACAAAATGCCTTCGTAAGTACTAAATGAATGAGGAGCTCGATTAAGTTAAGCAGTTTTCGCAGTGGTCGGTCATTGGTTGGGTGACTAAAAATCTTCTATCTCGATTCCTCCGTGCTTCGGAAGGCACGCTAAGCCGTTGGTCCCGGCTGCATCTGCAGTCGTTAGCACCCGTCAATCGCACTGGGCCCGCGTGGCGAGTCATGGCCCAATCTGCCTATTCCATCCACAGGAAAGGCCCCAGCAGTGGGGACATTAACCAATAATCACAATATAGAAGACAGCTCTTTTACGAAACTAGGCCCATTTGCACCAAAGTTCTTTAAGCAAGTTTAAAAGCAAATCCAGTTGACGACTAGTTCTATCCCTATTTAACTTTGAAAAAATGACAATGGTGGAAAGAGGATGGCTGGAGCAGTACACTTTCTGCCTCATCATCTATCATCGCGACTGGTCACTTACACTTAACATCAGATAGGATGGGGCAATTCGTTGCGCCTAGAATAAAAAAAATACTTAAACACGGTTAAGCCTTTATTCGAATTAAGAACTTTGATGAAAGTAAATCATGACGGAATCAAATCTAGTACTTGTATAAAGACTTCATGAGTGTCAGTTCCATTCATTTAGTTGCTTTGCTTAAACTAATAAAATGTTCCAAATTTTTCATTTATAATTATAAACACTCGATAGTAATCTCAAAGTGTACCTAACTTAAGTGGGTAAAATCTTGCTTGAAATCTAAGTTTACAAAATTTCAACTTAGGCTAAATTTGTATGAAAATATTCAATTCGATGAACTGTTCATTATTGGAATCTACGAGTATAATGTAATGATATTATTTTTCGATGTTAAAATTGATCAAAGCTGTTATTATGACGTATACTAACTGAGTACAATAATGTTGCATGTAAATAACTTGTGAAATAAAACCTATTTATAAGTGATATTATTATGGAAATATAAATATTGTGTAACTAAGAAAATGTAATTAACTGTCATTTTAAATAAATGTAAGAATAAATAACAAATTTTGAATTTAACGTGCCAATTACGTTTTGTTTTATTTACACACATTCATTATAGATAGAGTCATGGACATTAATAATTTGACGACCGCCGTGGTCGAGTGTTTTGTACACCGGGTTTCATGGTATCGCCTTCTCGAGAGATCCCGGGATGTTTAGTTTGCATTTGTATATAAATAAACTTATACTAGCTGTCCCAGCGAACTTCGTACCGCCATAAAAAATAGGGGTTGGTGGTAGAAGGGTGAAAATTTAGGGTTGTATGTATTTGTGTATGATGTATCATAAAAAAAAAAAAATAAAATATATCTAAAATTGAAAACAAAAATAGGGGTGGATTACCCTTAACATTTAGGGGGATGAAAAATAGATGTTGTCCGATTCTCAGACCTACCCAATATGCACACAAAATTTCATGAGAATCGAGAAAGCCGTTTCGGAGGAGTTTAACCACAAACACCGCGATACGAGAATTTTATATATGTATAAGACTAGCTGACCCAGCGAACTTCGTACCGCCATAAAAAATAGGGGTTGGTGGTAGAAGGGTGAAAATTTAGGGCTGTATGTATTTGTGTAAGATGTATCATAAAAAAATAAAAAAAAAATATCTAAAATTGAAAAAAAAATTAGGGGTGGATTACACTTAACGTTTAGGGGGATGAAAAATAGATGTTGTCCGATTCTCAGACCTACACAACATGCACACAAAATTTCATGAGAATCGGGAAAGCCGTTTCTGAGGAGTTTAACCACAAACACCGCCACACGAGAATTTTATAAATAAGATATGTAAAGTATAGTATTCTATCCGTAACTCTAGTATTCCATAACACAAGCCTACAGTGCTTAGGCTAATCGGTGCGAGTGTTGGAAAAAAATATTTTTATTTTTAATTGTTCAGTGAGTAAAAGAGTTTGAATGGTGCGGGACGGTGAGCTAGATATAAAAAAAAGCGAGCCTTATGGCTTAATTACATTTGGTCGTTAGCACGTATTCGGGTGCACGGAAGACGCGACTCCAATCCGGGCACCCGAAGCAATATTTACACTGGAATACCGGCTGGAATAATACGAATACGGGAGTATTCGACTCCGTTAATTTACACCTAATCGTTGACCCGAATTCCATTGGCACTGGTATTCGAGGTAACAACCAAGTGTCATCGCGCCATTACAGTAGTCGCATATGATGTGTAATATTTGACATCCCACCTCAGAAAAAATAAGTAAAAATGAACTAAAATCTAATTCAACAGAAATAAGCAAATTTTAAATGAAAATCTAAAATTTAATCAAATACCCCGCTTCCTGACTTCACTTCCATCCCAATTCATGAAATCAGATCACTAGAGGGCGATGTTCGAGTGTTTGAAGCCGCCTGGTTGTGAGTGTTTCATCGCCTATGAATTTCCTAGCTCGTTTGTCAATAGCTTTCAAACTATGAGGTTTTAAAGTTGTAGATACGTCATACACGCTTCCAATTTGACAATACGAAAGTCAGGCAATTACCCGACTTGCGTTCAGTCGGGCACGCTCTCTCGCCGCGGCTACACTTTGCTACAACATGGAAATATTTTACGTTTTTCCAGACAAAAAACCAACCAACAAAAAAGTATGTATTAAGATAGTACACAAAATACACGGGAACTATTATAGACAAGAAAAAGTTGTCATTATCTCATTTCATTCGAAAGTACAGATTTAAAGTTTACGTAAACATATTAAGTAACATACACACATACATATTTTGACAGTTGCTGACACATGAGGCTAAAGAGCGAGATGTAATCTGCTTTATGAATGAGATAGAAAGAGACTACTTTAAAGCGCTATATTGGCGGCTGTTGCCAAGGGCAGTCCCCGCCTACTTGAGCCATTTTAAAATATATAATAATGTTGTATAATTTGTCTATATTATTATACGTCATTGCTTCCAATGCTTGGACTGGTGGCGGGTGGATCTCATCCTATTTCCTACTATTATAATAAATGTGAAAGTTTGTATGTTCGTTACTCAATCACATAAAAACTACTGAACGGATCCGGATGAAATTTGGTCCGCATATAGTTTATGATCTGGGTTGAGACATGGAATGCTTTTTACTACGAAAAAAAATGACAACTTCCAGTGGGATTCTCGAAAAACTAAAGTTAACGCGGACGCGAAGTCGCGGGCGGCTGCTAGTCCTGCATAAAAGTCGTCAGCACCCTAAACAATTGAACGTCAGGGAATGATGAGGAGCAGTAATGAGCTGTCATGCACATTGGCCAATAATTGGGCAATCCGAACAAATACCTATTACCACCAATATTGTATAGTAGAAGTTCACCGAGCTGATAATAGAATGAAATATATTTTTCATGAATTTAGTATATCAGAAAATTTATTAAAAATAGGGTTAGCTAAAATAAAATCCAGGACAAACTATATTTTTAATTAAATAAAAAAATATCTTTAATTAAATGTTGCAATATCAAGATAATAAGAAAATATTGTCCTGACTTAAAGTATAAAACGTATAGAATGTACAGCTGTTGGGTAAAGTAACTGGCATCGACATACCTGTTTATACCTAGCAACCCAGTAGTTCGCCCCGGTAAATAATAGAAACCCCAACGGCTGCACTTTTTGTACGTTTTATACTGTAAGTCAGGACAACATTTTCTTAAAACCTTGATGTTACAACTTGCAAAAATTGTAATTAATTAAAAATAGTCTGTCCAGGATTTTTTTAGGCAACATATTTTTAATATATTTTGTCTAATATACCTACTAAATTTATAATAAAATATGTTTCATTCTATTATCAGCTTGGTGAAGGCCGATGTAGGCTCGGATCTTAGACAAGTACAGCCAATGCCAATATAACTCGTAATTACTACGGCGTTTGAAAAGCCTTCTATATCCTACTAATTTGAAAGTTTGTATGTTTGTTTCTTAATCACACGAAAATGCTGAACGAATTTGGATGGTAGGTGTAATTTATGACCTGAATTAACACATGGGGTAATTTTAATCCCGAATAAAATTTTTGTTCCTGTGGGATCTTCAAAAAACTTAAATTATCGCGAACTAAATCGCGGGCGATCGCTAGTTTTATTATAAATACTTTATGGTATTTAAAGCTAAAGAAAAGTTTTACTAGAAAAACATCCACGCGGACCAGGCAGCGGACGGGATTCGAACCCGCAGCCTTCGCAATCCGGGCGAATGCACTGACCAATTATGCTACCACGGCCCTGATGGCTACATCGAAATTTTCCTAGCCTTAAGCTGCAAGGCAGCGCCATCTCTTCAAATTGTAGGTAACCCACAATGTCAAATGAATACTTTTTCAAGTAATTTACATTTAAATGAAGAAATATCAATTATTATTATTATATTTTTGCTAAATATTTAAACTTTTCTTTAGATTTAAACACTAGAAGAACTTCTAGTAAAACTTTTCTTTAGATTTAAACATCAAGCAGTTAAATGCTTAAAAAATAAAAAATACTTTATGGTATGTTTTTAAACCTTCACAAACCTTCACTTTAGAGAGATGCAATACTGGTTTTCCCAACGAAGATAATTGGTAGTCACCTCTTATAAGGATACGGATAATA